CAAAAAACACTTCTTCACAAAACTATGTTCCAGTGTGGGCAGCTCCTCAGATTTCTCTGGAAGTGTTGATATAAAGTAACCTTTCTTTTTCTGCTGAATTTTTTTAAGCGCCATCTTTCCCCYGAAGAGTTTACCCAAGTGTTCGGTATGACCGTGGAAGACTTCGACCGGCTGGCCTTGTGGAAGAGGAACGAGCTGAAGAAACAGGCCCGACTGTTCTAATTTTATTCGGACACGTGTTATAAAAGCTGCCAATAGTAGAACCTTGCTGCTCTATTACACTGCCATGCCAGAGAGCCTGCTCCAGATCTCCTCACAACCAAATTCTGAAGAACTGGTGCAAGGTTGCCAGTGCAGCTGTTTGCTGGACTGAAGTGTAAAGCAATAGAGACTGTCACGCTGTAGTGCTGTGCTTTTTTATTTCTTTGAAGTCCAAATGATGGAGGAGGGTGTGCCTGTGCACACCCATATGGACACAAGACAAGCGTCTGTGACCAGAGCTGCAGTACTGAAACTACAAGAGGTGGATTTTGGCTTTGCCTTACTTTGTTATGCTCCTTTAGTTATGACTGTGCAGCACCAGCAATCTGAATGAGTAGAGTCTAGATACAGTTTATCATTTATGACACTTTATCGGTGTGAATGATTCAAAAAAGAAGAATGAGTGTGAGCATCACTTCTGTTTCGCTTCGTATCCATTTGATCTCTTCCCATTCCTGCTGTTTTACATGAAATGATGTTATGGTTTACACTTACAAAAACAGAAAGATAAAAGCTTTTTTTTGTCTCTCTCTCTCTCCTTTTTTTGTGACKACGATTGATTTTGTGTGAAAATAAAAACCAGAGAATCAAAATCTATAGTTTAGAAGAGCATTTCCGTGCAACAGATATAGCTCACTATGATGCTGTACGGTAACCAGAGAATGTGCAATTCAATAGATTTGTTACAAATCTTATTTCCAGAAAAGTTGGTGTTAAGTAGCTAGGTATTCTGTATCTCCTTCAAATCTGTATTTTAGAATTTGATGTGGCGTCACCTGCCAGTACAGGGAAAAAAATATATAAAATATACAGACAGATGGGCACAGTTAGCTTCACAAACCACTAATCTGCTATCTTTGGTAATGCTAAAGGAGGAATTCAGACCAAAGCTTTACAGTTCCACTTCACACAAACCCCAACTGAGTGGGTATGTTTAAAACAAGGATTTTAAAGCATGATATYTCCACTTTAAAATAGATGTTTTACAATTGAGAATTTTCCAGTGGACCGAAAATTAGTGAAACCTAATTTAGCAGAAGCTAATTGGTCCGCTAACGGTCACCAAAGTTAGTGAAAAATAATTGAGTCCACAAAACGAGAAGCTAGTTCCACTGTCAGTTATATTATTAGTTAGCATATTAGTGATTTAGCAGAACTGTGCCCACAACTGAAAACAGACAGTAGGATAATCTTGTAGAAGACTGTGTTCAGTAAAATATTACGTGACAGCTGAGGTTGCCAAAATAAAAGCAGCATCCACCGAACATTTTGTTTCATACAGGAAAGTATATACGTCATGGCCCACTCCAGCCAGAACATCATTCTATTGTTACAAAAAAACATCTGCAGTTCATAATATTTTAATAAGTTTCAGGTAATAAAGGAAATGTTGTGTGTAAAGCTGGAAAGCACCTTTGGATAACGTGTAACCTGAAACTGGATTGCACATCCTGCTTAGTCAGGGCATGAACTCATCTCTGATGGACCGGAAGAGAGAAGACATGATTCAAGGTCTGATAATTTGGCTTGCCTTTGAAAAAATAAAAATAATTAAATCCTATAAGCAAAACATGAGGTTGACCATATAGGATGTTTTTAGCAAAAGTTGCAAAAGCCAGAATTTTATTATTATTATTATTATTTTTGATGGAACAAACTTGGGATATGTGCCATATGGGCAGACGTTAATGATGAAATCTTTGAAAGATGTACCAAAAACACGTTTTTTTGATTGATGAGAAGCTAAAATGTTGAAATCTGTGAATTACTGCTGAAATAGAAACATATCCTTTATTTAAAATCACAACAAAGAATTTTTGTCGTGATTTGAGGAAAAATMACCAACTTCTCTGGAAATCAAGTGTGTTCTTTTTGGCTTGTTTTCTCAGCCCACTGCAGTAATATGAGTTCATGTTCTGCATTAGGTCAGWGTAGTCAACCATGAACTTACATCCACTAATTATTATATTTTAGAAAAGAAAAGACTAATTGAATAATTTTGTAGCTCCAGAGAATATTTCTCCTGACAAAGACACACTCATGCATCTCACACATATTCAGACCCAGGAGTTGTTAGACTTCTTTTGAATACTGCTCATTTTGATTTGACATTAAACTGCAAAACCTAAAATCTGTCTCCTCTCTTTTATTAATATAAATCATCATCAACCCCCTTCCTAAAAATAAATAAAATAAAATAAAATAAAAT